TCAGAGGAGATACAATCTTGGTTTTTTTGCTATTAAGGTCATTGACCTGTCACAGTTTTGAATGTGTTTGAAGCAGGTTTATGAATCTCTCAGCATTTTCCAAGATCATGACTAAGTATGAAATGGTAGGCACCAAATGCTGTCTGGTTTGTAACACATTACAGATTATATCTAAATCTAATTCAAGAATTTTGATATTCTGTAATATATTTTTTTCTAACTTCACACTGATGTAGATTACATCAAAGAGAGCTTCCAAATCATACATGAAAATAGTGGACAACTCCTACATTGGAAGCTCTGAAGAGGTTTGTTTCTTCTGATAACGTCTTTTAAGCCCCAAAATGAATGATGATGTGCCACCATACAACATTTTTAGGTTAATAATCTTTTGGAGAGGGTTGAGGCTACCTTCATCAAGCATTTTGCAAATTCAAATTATCAAAAAGGAATAAAATCATTGAGGCCAAAAGCTAAAAAAGAAAAGCATCGTGTGACATTTTTTTCAGGTAAGTTTCTATGAAACTCATTGCATAAATTATCATACAAAGAAATGCTTTGTAGGCAATTTGCTTTTGTAAAGAAATTATATTTGTTGCACTGTGATGCTTTCATCCATTCACATTTATTATGTTCTGTCCAGGCTTCTTCTCTGGTTGCTCAATTGCATTACTTACTGCTGTTGTTTTAAGAATAGAAACCAGAAATCTAATGGATAAGAAGGAGAGGACCACGTACATGGTTAATTTCTTCCCTCTTTACAGGCAACCATGGAATTCTCTGAAGATTCTGTTTGTTAGTGGATTTACTTGAGCTATTTTAACAATTTCTCATTGAGCACGTATAATGACTGAGAGCTTTTTAATTTTTATTTTTCTAGCAGTATTTTTGGATACATTGTCCTACATATGCTTATGTTCACTGCAGAGTGCAGACTTATACTTCTGGAGGCGTTACAGAGTCAGCTATACCTTTATCTTGGGTTTGAAGCTGGGAACTGAGCTGGGATATAGAGAAGTCTTCCTACTTAGCACTAGTCTAGCAGTACTTACATTGGCCATTTTCCTAGCAAATCTACACTTGGATTTTGGCTCAAAATCTCAGAATTACAAGACATTGACTGAACTTTTCCCTTTGGCTTTGGTTGCTGTAAAAGCCTTGAAGACGTTGTGCTCTGCAGACATTAATATATTTTCTGATATGGTCTACATTTCTGTTGTTATTTTCCCTTTAATATGCATATTTAACCAAGTTTTCTTGTTTTCTTGTAGATTGTTCTGGTAGTAATCTTCTGTCCTTTAAACATCCTGTATCGCTCAAGTCGCCTCTTCTTTATTAAATCCTTGTTTCACTGCATTTGTGCCCCTCTCTACAAGGTAATTCATGTCAAAATGGAGAAAATCTCAAATATATTTATGAAATAGTTAATATTGTACAGATAACATCCTTCTCTTCAGGTTACGCTTCCGGACTTCTTGTTGGCGACAAATCTTACCAGCCAGGTTCACTTTGTACTTTGCATTCAATTGAATTAGTATGCAAAACAATGGTCTATAACTCTAATCTTTGCACAATTTTCCCATCATCTGACCACAGATTCAGGCAATATAAGGAGTGTTGATCTTTACATTTGCTACTATGGTTTGGAATTCTCCCAGCGAGAGAACAAATGCCATAAGCATGGTGTTTATAATGCTTTATATTTTATTATTGCTGTAATACCATTCTGGATGCGGCTTCTACAGGTATTCTTTGCTTTTATCTCTCATGTTTACAACTCCTTGTGCAATTAAATGAGTATTGGTTTTGTTTTAAGGGTTTTTTAAAAAATATATAGGTTAATAATGTAATTAATACACTTTTTAATCATTAAATTATATAAAAATATAAATTTTAATTTAAATTTTATCAATTAATTAATTAAATTAATACACATGTTATTTGTGTTATATTTAATACCAATTTTTGTATTTTTCAATATGACTTAATGACTAAAAGATATATTAATTACATTTTTAGGACATATATTAGAAAAATAATTGTTTTAATGATGAAAATTATGTGCCTTACGGAGCATGTTATCCATGGTTTTGGGAACCTCTAAACTCTTTCATTCTCTTGAATGTTATGTGTGCATATACCGTATTTAAACGTTCATAAGTCTATTAGGGAACTTTTTATTTAGAATGTGTTAATTCTTCTATTATGTTGGTTGCTCATGTTTCTTGGGATATGAACCTGCTGGAGAATCCAAAATACTTTCTTGATGATCTAAATGTGCACCTTTTTAATCATGTTCCTTACTTAGATCATGCTTTATCTTTATAGCATCTCTCATTGCTACCCAATAGTTAATTTGGTTGAACTTTAGTGTGTGATTCGTGTGGTTTGGGATTTTCACCCACACCACCGGATTCGAGTGCCTTTGCCCCCATTTCCCTTTGTACAAAAAAAAAAAAAAATGGTTAGCTCGGCTCTGACAGTTTCCTACATCTATTACTTTGTATTAAACTAGCAAGCCTAGTCACTTCCATGTAGAATACATCCTTTTTCCGGTGTAAATTACAAATATATATATATACACACACAAAACTATATGTAATGCAAATTATATCAAGCTATACTATAAAAATTATTGGATAAAAAGTAAACTTTTTAATATATAGGAGACCTTTTTATATTTAATTATTTTTTTTACAATTAAAACAATGTATAAAACATGAGACTCATATATATATATATATATATATTCTACCAATGTATTCACATTGGGAAAAGAATTAATCTGATATGTTTCTTAGCACATTTTCGGAGAAAAAGAGATTACTCTGTTTTACATATTCATGTATGTTAATTTTCATCCTTATAACAAAACCAAAACCATTTTGGAAAGCATATTGAAGAAACTAATATGTTGAGAATTGTAATGCACTGATAATTGGTATATGTCTTTCTGAAGTGCCTTCGTCGATTATGTGCAGACAAAGATTCAATGCATGGATACAATGGTTTAAAATATTTCCTAACCATTGTTGCGGTTCTTACTAGAACTGCTTGTGAAGTAAAGAAGGAAAAGACCTGGATGGTGTTTGCTTTGATCAGCTCAGCTGTTGCAACCACAACGAATACTTATTGGGACATTGATGTAGACTGGGGACTTCTACGCATCCATTCAAAGAATGTTTATTTAAGAGAGAGACTTTTAGTTCCACACAAAAGTGTGTACTTTGCAGCTATGGTAATGTAATGTCATGCTATACAACCAGCGGCGATCTGGTGTTCTTTAATTAATAGTACTTATTACGATTACTAATGAGTAATTTTGTGTGATTTATGGCAGGTCCTGAATATAGTACTGAGAATTGCTTGGATGCAGGTTGTGTTAGAATTTAACTTGCATTCCCTCCATAAAATAGCTGCAACTACTATCATTTCTTGCTTAGAGATCATTCGTCGAGGCATTTGGACATTCTTCAGGTCTTTAACTACTTCTGAAACTTATATCATTAATGGTCTTGCAAGACTATACTAAATCTTTATCATGTGTCCCTATTTCCATTGTTTAACCAGATTGGAGAATGAGCACGTGAACAATGTTGGCAAGTACCGGGCGTTCAGATCCGTTCCTCTTCCTTTTAATTACGATGATGAGGAAGATAATGACAAGGGCGATTGAAATGTGTCAGCAAGATTTCCATGGACTTTGGAGGTGGGATGGAAGGGAAGATTTTTCAACTTTTTTGTTTC